GAACCGACTCAACAGCATTTAACAACAACAGTAGCATAGGATGTGAAGTCTTAACAAAGGTTCTCTTGTCTAGTAAGGCCTACCCTGTGTCCGGTGGGTCAGAAAGCAAGCCTCGAGGTTATAGATGCAGATAAAGACAAAAAGATCTTGGGGGTGGAGGGGGGGAGTGCTCCTTCTCAGGCCTCTTACCTCCTGTTAACTTAGTCTCATGCTTTGTCCTCTGCCCCTGGGATCTCAGACTCCCCTTAGGTACCCACCCTTATCTCCAGGTGAAACATTCTGAATCTCTTCTTCCAGGTCTGTACTGACCACTTAGGTGTAAGACAAAAGTTTTCAAAAGCCTGCCCAAACTTAACTTGTTCAAACTCATTCTCTGTTACGTCCAATCTGCTCCTCTTTCTGATAGGAAGTTTACTGTTCTCCTAATCATTCATAACCTCAGGGCAGTTTATGATGGTTACCATGCCAATTTTATAGCATCGTTCTCTCTCTCTTTATTCTAGTTCAGGCTAGTTCCCCCATGTCTAATCTAAACTGTGCTATGGTTCTATTCCGTCCTGTCCAATAGAACCTTCTGCAATGTTGGAAATACTCTCTATTTGTACTGTCCAATACGGTAGCCACTCTAGCCATGTGGGACTACTCAGCAGTGTCCAGGTGTTAGTGTGATTGAGGAAGTGAGCTTGTCAGTCATTCTATGTCACTTTAAGTCTGATGGCCACATGGGGCCAAAGGCGACCATATTGAATGGCACGGCTTTAAGTCATCTCATGGTCCCGTCTAGCCTCTCCCAATGTCCTAGCGCACCTCTGCAAAACTGTCAGTGGGGATCCATGGCCCACAGGACCAAGTCCAAACGCCATAGGAAGGAATTATGGATTTGTCCCAAAAGTGCTTTTCTAACTGACTTTACTTTTGAGGCCTCCCTTTCAGTGCCCAGACTAACCCAATATTTTAACACGACCTCCAGTTTCTCCCCCTAATGTATTTATATATGCCATCTTCTTTGCCCCAATCTTCTCCCCCATTTATTTTTGCTTATAAAGACCCATTCAGGGCACACCTCAAACATGATGTCCTCCTCAAAGCTGATTCCCATCCCTGCCCCAAGGTGAAAGTCAGCTCTGTGTTCCCAGAGTTTTCCATCTATGCCTTACATCACAGATCACCATTTGTACTGAAATGAAGGATCGATTTACATACCTGTTTTCCCTTAAGATAATGGAGTCCTGGTGTGGCGCTGTGGGTTAATGTGTTGGACTGTAAGGTCAGTTGAACCACAAGGTTGGTGGTTCAAGCTCAAGCTCACTAGCTGTTCCTTGAAAACCCTATACAAGGTTGCTATGGGTGGGAACCAACTCAATGACACTTTACAACAGCAACAGCAACACCAACAACAAATTTTTTTTTTTTACTTCAACTTAATATGTAATAGGCACTGTTGCTTGTTCACAGCTGCATGTGTGGAAGGTTTCAATTAATACATTTACTCGAATTTAATATCAAGTTTACTTCACATAAAACAACATACATCTTCACTGTGTATTTAAATACTAGTATAAACAATATGAGAATCTGGTTCATAAAACTATTTAGAAATATTTGTCTTGAAACCAACAGTGTATGTCAGAATAGGCTAGTGTGACTAAACAGCCATACCTTCTTTACCTCTCTATGTATCTAACAGTTTACAATAATCAGTGTGTGGAGGAAGCAAGTTAGCATACCTGGTGGTCATGGCGATTATGTATAGTATAGAGGAGAAAGCGAGTGTTTATCTTCTCTGGAGACCAGGGTAAACCTGCCAAACGTCTTGACAAAATCCCTGTCCACCATGTTAAGTCATCTTTAAAGCATCCCACTCTTTCATAGCAGACTTCTTTTCCTGCAACAGAAATGATGAAGTGTCAGCATGATGAGAACCAGGCCCGAGAGAGGCTGTGTTTCACACTGTGAGGGTTCATTTAAATCTGAGTTTAACTTAAACAAACTGTGACCCAGGGAGATGCTTGTCAAAACCCACTCTTCTCTTTCTCCTGCCATTCATCCCAAAACGTTCATTGTGTCTCTGTAAGTCATGGTGCTGCAGATGACAGTATAAGGGCTTTGGGATCAGACTATCTTGGCTGTGGGCAATTGTTTTAACGGCTTGAGTCTCAATTTCCTCGTCTGTAAAATGGGAGTAGACCATTTACCTTACAGACTTGTCATGAAGACTAACTGTGCAGCTGGTGGGTTTGAACTTCCAGCCTTGTGGTTAGCAGTTCAGTGATGATCCTATAGAGACACCAGGAGTCCTGGGACACTGCCAGAGTCCAATATGCGTTTCAAGAATGAAATTGTGAATGAGAGCAAAGCTTCATTTCATTTTAACCAACTGTCTTCTTCCTGGAGCTCAGTTTACTAATTTCTAAAATGAAAGGCTTTGGGAAAACTCCATCTTGGATTCTGATCAACATCTGCTGAATTATCCTTTTACTATGACTTCTGATTTGCATTTCCATTTGACACCCAGAGATGAATTATAAAACATAAAATAACTTCATTTAATTCTATTTTATGGAGGCTTAGTTGAATTTATTCAATTAAGTGTTTAGGATACAATAATTAGGATTTGTTAATATTGGGTAGAGTTGTTTGACAAGTTGTGTTTGAGTATTTTCTTATATCATTTACAAAAAATACTAAACAAGACTTTGAGTCTCAAATCTGCTAATTTTAGCTTCAAAATTTTAGGCGATTTTTTTTTTTTTTTCACTTCCAAAGAGCAAGATACTACATCAATAAATATGAAGAAAGAAGATAGGAATTAAAGTTTTCTGAATCATAGCAATGTTTGTACAGATGACCCAGTCCACTTACAACGACAATCTCTCTCCCCAGAGAATGTTTTAAAGCATGTCTACAGCTCTTCTATGGGAGAAAAATGTGGCGGTTCACCTGTGTAAAGATTTACTCCTTGGAGACCCTCGGGGGTAGTTCTTCTCTGTCTGCAGAGTTGTGGGGATTTGGAATGGACTCAACAGTAACTGGGATTACTGGTAATAGTATCTCTTCTGGGGGTTACCTCCATATCTATGTACAATGTGCTTACACTATCAACTTCAGGCACACAGGGTCTATGAACTCTCAGCAACAGCAAATGAAGAACAGACTCTCTTATTCCTTGTATCAGCCAGGGTCCAGCCAAGAAACAGAAATTACACCAGCTATTTTACTGTAAGAACTGCTAATTAGGTATTGGGGAGCTGGAAATATAAAAGGACAGTTCAGTAGAACATTTTAAATGTTCCTTTAAAGAATTCATAGGTCAAAGTGCAAAGAAAACATTTCAAATGCAGAATATATTAAAGTATAATGATAAAGAAAGTATAGTTTGAAATCTCTGAAATGAAACGAACAGTATCATCATAAAAAAAAAAGTAGATAGCTTTAAACACTTATAATGCTAAACTAGAAATGATGGAAAATAGTGAATTAATGGCTCAGCTCAAGAAAGCAGAAAAAGAACAAGTAAAGTTGAAGAGGGAATATAATTAGCAAAAATGAAGGTAGAAATTAATGAATTCAAGAAATGGAAAAAAGCCATATTGGATTGATAAATCTATATGGCATTTGCTTAATAAAACGAGTCAGATAGACGATCCTGATAACGGATTTACAGAAATAAAGGGAACTAACCAAAGATGTGGGTAAAATAAAAAGGCCTATGACATTGTTGAGTGCCACCAAGTGGGTCCCCACTCAGAGCAACCCTGGTGAGTTTGAACCTCTGACCTTGTGGTTCAAACTGACCTTGTGGTTGAGTGCTTATCCCAAGGCGCCACACCAGGACACTAAAAATCCTTACAGTTGTTGCTGCGTGCCTTTGAGTAGATTCTGACTCATAGTGACCCTGTCTAGGTTAGCTGGTGAGTTTGAGCTGCCAACCTTGTGGTTCAAACTGACCTTGTGGTCCAGTACCTTATCCCATAGCACCACACCTAAAACGTGGTAAGAGACTGAAATTCTAGATGAAAACCCCATTCCTTAAAACAACAAGAAAACCCCCACTACCTTTGAGTTGATTCTGACTCACAATAGAACAGCCAGCCCATAGTCTTATTTCTAAGACTATAATCTTTACAGAAGCAGACTGTCAAAGCTTCCTCCCATGGGTTCAAACCTACAGTCTTTCATTACGTTAACTCACTGAGCAGGCTGGGCTCCTTCTCTGGTTGTTGGGACCCTATGCATAACAGAACCAAGCACTGCCCAGTCCCGGGCCATCCTCACGCTGTTGCTGCTGTTAGTGTATCAGTCTGTCTCTTGGGGGTCTTTCTCTTTCTCAATGAGCCTCTACTTTACCAAGCATGATGTCCTTTTCCAGAGACTGGTTCTTCCTGATAATATGTCCAAAGTACATGAGACAAAGTCTTACAATCCTCATTTCTAAGGAACTGTCTGGATGTACTTCTTCCTAGATAAATATGTTTGTTCTTCTGATAGTCTATGGTACTCTGAATATTCTTAATTAATACCACAATTCAAATGTATCAGTTGTCCTTATTCATTGTCCAGCTTTCACATGCAGATGAGGTGAGTGAAAATATCAATTGTTTGGGCCAGGCACACCTTAGTCCTCAAAAAGGCATCTTTGCTCTTTAATACTTACAGAGATCTTTTGCAACAAATCTGCCTAATGCAAATCATTTGATTTCTTGACTGATGCTTTCATTAGCATTGATTATGGATCCAAGAAAAATGAAATTTTTGACAACTTCAATCCTCTCAGTTTATAATGATGTTATTTATTAGTCCTATGAGGCACTGTAGGGTAAGCACTGGACTGCTAACCGCATAGTTGGTAGTTCAAACTCACGAGTTGCTCCTTGGAAACCCTATACAGGGTCGTTATGACTTGGATCTGATTCGAAGGCACGTAATAACATGACAAAAAGTAAAATAAATAAAAACATAACAAACAAGAATATATTTGCCAACTATCTGACTGAAAAAGACCAAATTATTATTCCAGGTTTTTGATAATAAAGAAAGAAACTTTAGAAAAATGTACACGAGTCTGAAGATTTCATCTGCAAAAGATATACAAATAGCCAGAAACAAATATAAGAGAATACTTAAGCTTCCTGATAATTAAAAACAGGCAAATTAAATAGAAAATGTTCATTCTATTGGAACATATTAGACAAAAAAACTTCCTATCCTTCTATGGTACACTGCATTACTGTTCCCAGTCCTTTAGACTCCCTCCCGATATGTGGATTCAAGGAGTCCTGGTGTGGGGCTGAGGGTTAATGCACTGGGCTGAAGGGTCAGCTCAAACCCCAAGGTCGGTGGTTCAAAGTCACCAGCCACTCCTCAGAAACTGTATACAGAGCTGCTATGAGTTAGAACAGACTCAATGACACTTAACAACAACATCAACACATGTGGATTCAAAGAGCCTTGGTAGTATAGTGTATTATGAGTTGGGCTGCAAACCGCAAGGTCTGCCAGTCACTCCTCAGGAGGAAGATGAGGCTTTCTACTCCCTCTGTGGTGCTGTGGGTTAGTGTGCTGGACTACAAAGTCAGTTTGAACCACAAGGTTGGTGGTTCAAGCTCACCAACTGCTCCTTGGAAACCCTATACAGGGTTGCTATGAGTCAGAACCAACTCGATGGCACTTAACAACAATATTTATAGTTTTGGAAACCCTGTACAGGGTTTAGAGAGTCAAAACTGATTTCATGGCACACAACCACCAACCACCATATAAGGAGTAGATGTTCCCTCCTTTGGCCACTTGACTTAGAGTACGTTCTGTGCTTTGTCTGGTGAAGAGAGTACGCCAGGTCTGAGGCACACTCTACACGGTCTTTACACAGTCCAACCATTATATGCTTTCTCTCCACCACCTTCTCACCCTCCTCCCATCTCTCAAGAACAACATGTTCTGAACAGGAGCTATTCTTTGTCTCCTGTAAGCCTCAAACTATTAGTCAAAATATATTATGAGTGAATACGAACCCTTAATTTTTAAAAGTTTTTATTGTGAATTGAGGGATAGTTTGCATGGGAGAACATCAGCTTTGCTTTCATCCTATGGTATTTTGTTTCATTGCAATGATTACAGTCCCCTCCATGCATCATCATTCAACAGCATTTGCTTCCATTCCCTCTGGGTTTTTTTTTGTTTTTGTTTTTTTGTTTTTGTTTTTTTGATGTATACCAAAGCACTCAGTAATGTATAACCATTCACACAACCAAAGGGTACACCCCGCAAGCCCATCCCCCGGCCGCCAGCACACAGCCCCTCTCCCTCCCTGAGTCCAGAGTCCCCAGCCACTCCATCTCTCCACGTCATAGTCTCTGCCTCCATCTCTGGTGTCATTGTTTCTCTGGGTAGGGTCCCACTCTCCGCAATTCTCCCTTGATGGTTCCAGAGTCCTCCACTACTGGACTGCAAGATCAACCACTGCTCTCCTTTTGTTATAAAATGTCTATCTTTACATTTGCAACACTCACAGTCAGTCCTGATACCAATTATTCACTATGAACCACAAAAGTCTTATTCCCATCTCCTTTCATTAGTCCAGTCCAGACAGGTTGGAAACCACTCAGCGGAGATTCTATCTTCCCCTGCACCCTCTGAAACTGAGCTCCCTCTTGAAAGCTTGTAAGCCAGTCACTTCTTGCCTTTGTAGCTCCCACTCGCCCCATTTTGGGTAGCCAGTGTCTAAGTTGCCCATCCCTGTCTCCCCTATATACCGAGGGGGTGGAAATGATCCTTGCTGTAAAATTTGTTCCCTCCTTTGAGCTACTGCATCCATAAGTATAGGTCAAGTTCATCAAATTGTAGTGGATTACACTTTTTTTCCTCTTTTTTCTTCCTCTATGGGCT